ACATAAGATGGAGGCAAACAGAAGGTTAACAATAGCATAATGCCATGACAAATTAAAAGCAGATTTCCTAAGCTAATTTACAAGAAAACAGAAACCCATAACATACTAAAGGGAACGTTAAAAGTCGCATGAAAGAGTTATCAGGTTCATGAGGAGGAAAATGCGAAATTCTCAGCAATAAGAAATGCTCCTTCCTGACATGGGACCTTTCTGCAGACTATATACCCACTTTAAATCATTGAGAGCATGCCAGCATATATATGTATTCTTCTTTTTAGCTTAACTGATTTCATTATTTATAACGGATTGTACTCATGGCTTATTTTGCCAGCTGTCTCTTAGTTTGAAGCTTCTAATAGAGGTTGCCATTAGAAACTGAGATCTTAAGACAAAGGGAATTAAGGATAATGAGTCGGCATTGGAAGAGAAAAACAAATTGATCGATCATTGTCTACAACAGAGATGGGAATAAGAATGGGGTATTTATATTTCGTAGTAAATATTGACATTTTGTCCACTAGCATCGGAATGTAATTGAGATGACAACCAATAAAAATGTGGTGTTAACATTATCGAATGATCGATCACAAAAAGATTACCTACGAGTATTTTATAATCATTGCGCACATTGGCTTTTTTAAGATAATTTTAGAGTAATTCACCTGGATTTTCTTTATTACGAACAAAATCTTACTTTCTATTTAAGTTGAAAGACAACGTCAAAACAATCATTGTTTGCACTCGTTAGTTCGAAATGTGAAACCACTTGATACCTCGCTAACTCACTATTCTGCCATCGATCGCAAGCGCGACATCCAGATCAAGGCGCTAACATTTAATCAAAGCGAGCTAAACTTTAAAAGAATATAATTAACTCAAACCACCGCAAACTAACTAATTCAGTAAAAATAGACTCGTAATTTAGATGACTTAGTTACTAATTATAAACAACTCTTACTATTCTTGCGTAAACAAAGATTCTCTTACTTGAGAAAATTCGCATATTCGTCTCCTCGGGACGCATCGCCGCTTTCACCTTGAGAGAACCTTGTGAGCTCTGGAGAAGAAAGTGAAGCGTATCTTTTATGCAAGAGAGGCTGCCGTTCGAATGGAAGTACCATTTTATCCCCATTAGAGAGACGATTCAGCGTCAAAAAAGTACCATGTCTACCAACTACTGCTTCCCTGCGGCGTACTGAATTGTAGAGCACTGAATTACTATGGATACCATTGTCGACCGCTGTCTGTGGGCATCGCTGTTACGCCTATTATTGCGTGACGCTTGATTCTTCTCGTACTCTTAAAGTCACATTTTTCAAGTCACACTTGTTTGAATTTCTTTCTTTATATTTATTCATTTTTTTCCCGCGGGTAATGGTAAATAAATGAATAAAGGCTGATAGTTTCCAAAGAAACTGTTTGGGGCTGCGTCGGTGGGAGTAACGAAATAATTTGGATATATCAACAAAGTTGAAATTGGTAAATTGGCCACCGTAATGATTACAAAAGCTGACGTTTCGAGCGTTAGCCCTTCGTCGGAGCGAAGGGCTAACGCTCGAAACGTCAGCTTTTGTAATCATTACGGTGGCCAATTTACCATTTCAACTTTGTTGATAGATCCAAATTATAATGGGAAATAAACTCTAAGAAGGACAGGCCATTATCTTTTTTCTTTACCTACCGAATTAAGAGATTTCACTGAAGAAGAAAATTTTAAGAAGAATTATGATAGATGAAGAGTGATTTCAGTTTGGAATAGAAACTGAATTAAATTTTAACATTTGCGTGACTATCTTCTAACAAACCGGACTGATCAAATTTTCTTTCATATGCCATTCTAAAGAGAATTCCGCAAGTACCGCGACTTTTTTAATTTCCCTAACGTGGCCAAACCTCGGCGGCAGCAGAACATGTGATTACAGCGTTATAATTAAGTTAGTAACAAATCTGTAACTAATCAGCTATTGGGGCTCCAGTTAGTAGACGTTCCTTATTTTGCGGTATAAGACCATAAATTGCTAAGTGAGAATTCATTTGCAGAGCCGTACTATTGTTCTTGAACTCCTTAACTTACATTTGTCAAAGAAAACAGTAGAGTTTGCTTCAATTTCACATTCTTTATTCCTTTATTAATGCTGAAAATAATTTTGCTCTGCGCTTATTTTACATTTCTTTAATTGCACAATATTGTGTTTCTGTTAACGTTGATGAGTACGTGCGTGAATTTCAAAATTCATTTGAAGGAGTAATGATTGATTACAAACTATTTCTTTCAGTTAAATGTTTCGCTAAAAAATGGCTTACTGGCGATTTGGGTGATGAAGAAAGGCGAAAAAACGGTTAATTATAATGCTGCTTAATTGAAATATATGGATCTACAGTCTAAAGACTAGATACATGTTGGATACCGCGTTTGACTCTAGTCAAAACAACTTGACGATTGATTATATTCCAGCACGCGTCACTTATAAACTGTGGCAAACCGTGGCAATAAAACTTCACACAGCACTTGAAAAACTTCAAGGTAGGTTCACTCGAGTACACTTGCTCAGTTCTTTGGCAGTTTCACAGCGCGACCAGGACGGTTCCTGTTGTGGTAAACACCCGGCGGCTCAATAAGCCGTTGGCGTTCTGTGTTCCTGTCCGACTGATCTTCCTCTGACGGAATACTTAATTCCTCTAAACGGATGTCTTCTTCAATTTTTCCGTGTCCCTGTAACTTCTGACGATGATGCGGTGCTGTGATAAACGACAATCAGTAGTATTAAATTTTTAAATTATACTCAATCTAAGTTACTTTTAAGATTATTTTTTACAAACACTCTTGGTTGTCGCATAAGAGTATGCCCCCTAAGATCTTTGCAAATAGTTTGGGAGTAGGTTATTTCAAATCCACTTTTCACCAAGATTTCCATTGCTAAGTCAGCGCAGGAGTGAGCGAAAGGAATCAAGCTTTAGTTTCATTAGCACTGTTCGATAACTAGTTGATATTAATCGCAAAACTTTCCAGAAGATCGAGTGTTACAGTTAGAGAAAATGTATAAATCTCATGAGAGAAGGTAATTTTAACCACAGCGCGTTCCGAAGTTCTCTCAAGAAACAGCCTTCTTTGTGTAAACTTCCCGGCTTTCAAAATTCTTTGCTCGCAAACGCAAATAGCAAGTAGGCGTTAAGATTCAAAACAGATCTTTTTTTTTTTTTTCTTTTTTTTACCAACCTTGCAAAATGCGCAACCAGAAAGAAAAGATGTGTTTAGTGCGTTATACCTGTCAGGTTGCAAATAAGTTATCATTTCTAATTTTACAAAATAGGGTTTGTAAACACCTACCACCATCCGAGATCATTGTCCCCACTAAATTAATGAGCAAAATTGCAGCCACCAGAAAAATCTTCGCAGCTCTCATCTCGCGTCAGCTTTACCACAACCAAAATAAAGAAGATCGGGTGAGCTTTATAGCAATTGTGATGCCCCAACAAATTAACTTCCTCTTTGAACAGTTGTACTTCCTTTTACTTAATTGGACACTCAGATGCATACCAGTTCAAACGCGTTGTGTGTTTAAACTAAATAATTGTTACAAAACACAAAGGATTTTATGGTTGGGTTATGATTCGTGACATGAAAGTCAATAAGGATGACAGAAGTCATGGCTTTGACAATGTGATCATTGTGTAGACTTCAACTTTTGTTATTTTGATGATTTGTTTTGATTTGGCGAAGCTGCGTCCAGCGATCATTTAAAACCTAAGCGCATTGTATATCCTATAGTTTACGTTTCCTTGTCCATACCTATGAAGTCGACGTTTTCTTCAACTAAATTAAGCCTAAATTCAAACAGTAGGGCGCCTGAAGTTTCCAAAGATTTGTTTGTCTGAGACATCCCACAGACACGCGGAAAGAACTTGAATTACCACTTAGTGAAAAGCATGCGGAAAACTCACGGCGATGGATTAGAAACTGAATTTATTTACAAGCAATATCTTTGTGGCGAAAACGACTTCCCAATTCTGTCAGTATTCTTAGCGCTGTTGATGGCTTGACGAGTTCAACTTTTTTGCAATGCAAAGTCTTGGAGAAATATAGAACGGACTTTCATTCTATAACATTCATAAAGTACTGAAAGGATCGCGTGATTTCAAAGCGATGTTTTCCCAGTACAATGTAGACCGCACCACCTTGCACATCTAAGATAGATAGTTTAATCTCAAAAGCATTTGCAGCCCGAGGGCTGAATTACACATTTTTACAATCCAAGAAATTTAAAATTTAAAATTTAAAATTCAAAAACCTAATTACGCATCTTAATATACCAGCAGTTTACAATATTATAACATAATAATAAATTAAATAAAATATATTAGCTATAAATGTAAATTAATTAAAATAAGTATAAATTAATTAAAAGTATCTACATTGTCAGTATCATCATTATTATTACTATCATTATCACGCGTGCCGTAACAAAGGTAAAGGATATCGTATCGATAAAAATCTAGCCATTAAACTTCTTTGCCATAGCAAATATAAAAGTGTTCATCGTTC